ACACACACACACAACACACACACAACACACACACACACACCCCACACACACACACACACACACACACACACATACACACACACACACACACGGACAGTGCAAGCGGCTGGTCCGGCCGTCCGACTGTCAGAAGAGAACTTGGCGGAGAGACCACATGCCTTAGGACCAACACCGCCCCTCGTCTTGTGCCGTTAGAGTCACTCAGATCTGGTCCGACTGAGAAGCTTCACGGGGTAGAGGGGTAGAGGGGGTGCTTGGGGCGCTGTTCCCTGAACGCTACCTGACATAACTTGGGACTGTCTTCGTTCTCGAGATATTTAAAGGAGGTGGCCCAGTAAAGCAAGGGGGAACCACGGTCGAGAACAGTCTGCAGAATCGGCTTGTCCACAAAGGGATTGGGGTGAGAGGCTGGAAGGTGCTGTTACCGGCTCTACAGGAACGAGGGTTCCGAGCGTCTCGAGGTTTCCAGACATTGAGGGATCAGGGTTCATCCTTGGGCATCGCAAGAAGTGGTGTTTGTTCTCTTCGACAGAAACTCATGCACAACAAAATGGAAACCAGGATCCTACTGGCAGGCCTCTAACCCTTCAGGTCCCACACCCCGCACACACACAGGCTTGCCAATGCAAGCGAAGTGGCTGCCAGGGCGGCAAAGCACCTTCGATGCAAAAGCCTAAAACGAACATGTAAACATCAGAAGCGGAACTCCCCCTCAGAGCGCCTTCAAACACTGCATCTAAAACCCTGACATTTTGAAGCCTGCACATACTATCCGCTCATACAGCCCACAGGCCCGCACCCTTGGTCTGATGTAGATCTGGATTAAAATTCGGGCTTTCAAGGGCTACAGTATTGGGTTTATAGTGCTCTGGATGTCTTTTCGTCTGAGGAACTTCAGGAATAAGTGGTGGGGTTTGTTTGAGCCCCGTTACATCCTAAAGTCGCGGCGGTTTCCGCCGCAGGCGGGATTTCAAGATTTAGGGTTCCAGAGCTTTGGTGTTTACCAGAAATCCTAAAGCATTAGGGTTGTTGCAGTTGAGATTTGACGGGCTTCGGCTTCAGGGTCTTGCAGTCCAGCGCCGAGCAGGAGATTGATGGTGTTGTGGAGCTTTCCAATTTGTGATTCTGGGTTCAGGACCCAGCATGTAGGTAGGGCCAGGTAGGGTTTCGGATGCAGCCGTTGGGGTTTAGGATTCGGGGTTAGGAGGCTTGTCTCACCAAGAACGAAGCTGCACACAAAGCAACCGGGGATTCCGTTCCGACACTACGCCCAAACCATGACCCTATCCATGTGGGGCAACAACTAAACCACCCCGACGTTGTCTGCAGTCAATGTTCAATAAGGATTCCTTGAGTTCGAGGTCTTGCGCCCGAGAAAAGACAAGTGTGCAGGCAATAACCAGGGGTGTACATTGTTTGAATAGAGTTTTGTGCCAATCTGCGGTTTAGCTTCAGGCCCTGACAAACCTTGAACCATGAACAATGATCCCAAACGCTCCAGCAGGTGTCGGAATTGGTGTTTGGGAAAATCGAAACCCGGTTGTTTCCCACCCAAGCCCTGTGATCATTGGGCCCTAAGCGATCCCAAAAAAACACCAAGGCGCGCCCAGCGCAAGGGACCTGCAAAGATGCGGACTTCCGAAGCTCCGGTGGCCGCCGGTCGGTTTAGGGCGTACGGTGGTTAGGCATCTGAGATGTCTGAACAAATCACTCTGGAGCTTGAGAGCTATGAAATCGACGGTGTTGAGATGTGGTCGGTCCGTTGTTAAAATTCCAGTTGCACCAGGAGCTGGGCAGGAAAAACAAGGAACTGGAATCAGGGTGTCTTGGTTGATGGTACTTTTGAGACACACACACACACAAAGGACAGATGTGAGACCTTGCGGGGGCTGAGCCCGTGAAAGCTTGAGTAGAAACATGGATAACTCACAAAGGAATATGTAATGTATATGCTAAAAAAGCATACATCTATATATGTGTATATACAAATTAACACACACACACACATTTACACATAAACATTCCTGTTGTTAAAGCGTGGGGAGCCGAGATCAACAATCGTTAAACCTAGACCAACTCCAAATGTAGGCACGAGGCTTTGAGTCGGATGTGTAGGTATATGCAACGATAATTATTGTGTGCAATAGTTATGTAGTTATGTTGGGGATGCACAAGAAGACTGCTGCTGGTCTTTGAGAGTCCGTCCCATGTCAAGCGCAAACTCTAGCTTTGGAAGTGGCTCCCTCCCGCTGTGCCTCCGAGCTTCATTCGGCTTACGAGGCCCCGCCCCCTACCATACCAGGGGGGGCGAAACTGCGACGGCGTGGCAAAGCTCGGAGAAACGTCACAAGACCCTGAGCAATCACAGTATACACAAGACATCATGAAGCCTCGAAGGGTACGTACTGTTGTGCGTAAGCAAAAATTGGAACTACGACGATGGCTGCTGCTGCTGCCGCTGCTGCTGCTAGTGCTGCTGCTAGGCTTCTGCCACTGCTGTTCATATTCTTGCCACTCCAACTGCCACTACCAATACAACCACGACCCCACTACCACCGTCGAGCTGTGGTCTCGCAGTATATGCACACGTACATACACATGGAAACGGAACCTCTGGTCCGCGACTAAGCCCAGACCCCCGAACGTAACCACCCTATCTGAGCCCTTGAAGAGTGAATTCTGAGCTAACCTGACCTAAAGGTTGAACCCCGAACCGCGATTCCCTGAATGACGTACACCACAAACAATGGCTATCATTGTCCGTGCCTCACATGAGCGTACAACTGCTTCCGGATTGGGAAATTATCCCCTGTGCTAAGTGCCCTGAGGGGGAGATCAGCAGTGTACTTGTGATTAGGATGCCTGGGAAGCCCTTCATGTTTGCTCCTGCCGAAAGCTTAGGCTTGAAAGGCTGTTTTCGGCTTGGCCTTCAGGCTGCATCCAAAGATCTCCTTCTTTCCAGTGAATTGCGGCTGAAGGTCTTGGGAGCGAACACTCTTTGGTTTGGCATAAACCCTTGGACGGTGAATGCAAGGATACTTGGTTTGTCCAAACGTTGGGGTCTTTTCGAGCCTTGGCATGGGGAGCACTTGGGACTCTTAGGAGATATCTCGAAGCTTGAGTGAACCTCCATTTCTTCTGGCTACTCGAAGCATCCTCGCAGCGTGACTTGCCACAATTCCCCAGGCAACTTTGGCCAGGCGAAGCATCCGTGGCTCCTCGGGCAGCGCGTGGGATATCTGAAAGTTAGGGACAAGTGCTGTCAAGCGCCTCCAGGTACGTAGGATAGCGTCTCGGGAGAGTCCAAGAATCCAAGACTTACGCTGAGGTGAGGTGCTGCACATTACTCGGCAGAACAAGGGAGCCAAATCTGGGTCTCTGGGCAGAGGCTATGTGCATGGACAAGCAGCTAACTCGCGCACCAAGGATTAGTGTAGGTGCATTCTTCGTTGTATGTTCCTTCCTCCACTGACATCAGGGCCTTAAGGTTTTAGGTTCTGAAGTTCTGGGAAGTTCGGGGTGTCTGGGTCTCACGATTTAAAATTCCCAGCTGTGGTTCATAGCATCCCCAAACCTCAACTCCATCACCTCCTGACACTCAACCCTACAGGCTATCTTGAAACACGAACTACCCGCGACCCGTTATTAAAGCAACACGAAGCCCCAACATCTCAACTGTTCGATCTCCTGCTTAAACACAGATTCCTGTGCCTGTGTTCGTCGATGTCGTCGACGGGCAACTGGCGGTCGGAGAGCACGTCGTGGTCATTGAGGGGGTAGTTGAGGCGGTAAATTTCAGAGGTTGACATTGCATCTTTACATTTGGGCTTAGGGGAACGAATCTTCTTCAGGGTTCTGGGAGCTTGGCGTTGCCTTGCCTCGTGGACAGAAACAACCATAGTACAAAACCCGGAACAGTCGGCCCCATGTCAGAGCAATGACGAACCCACCCGAGCCAAATCCTCCGCAAACCGACGAGAAGTCGTCACCCGAATGAACAAAATTGCAAGGACGGATTCACATTGTTCAGCATGTTTATGGTGCAAGATGCCGGGGTCAACTCTGTGCAACAGATTGCCTGCAGATGGCGGGCACACTCGCAAGGCCGGGGCACAGGAGCAAAGGACCTGCACTGGCGGAGCTGTTTGGTCCAGAGCATTGGCATGGCGCTAAGAAAAATGATAAGGTCTTATCCAAGAGTTGGAACAAAAATGCTGACTGCACCCCACATAGCTGTTGCAAGCTTTGCCGAGAATGACGCACCCGATTTGCGCAACTTAGTTACAAGTAATGAGTTGTTGGCGGTGAGTGGTTCGAAACTTCAGTTTTGCAGAGCGGGTCTCCGAGTATGGATGGATGCTACCAATTCTTGAGATTCCTGTTTCAAAGCCCCCAAGCCCTGTTTCACACACAAACACATGCATACATCCCAGTATGATGCACTTGCGAAACTCTGTACGACTTCGATGAACATAGATCGTAATAGGCCCACAAGCCCAATCCACCCGACAAAACCCAAAAGCTGGACTCAGGGATCGCGGCTCAGGTGTGGTAGGCGTCAGACATTGGGGGAAGGCAAGATGTCGGAAACTGCCGCTCCGAGTTTCAGGGCTGCGGTCCCGACTTTGGGCTGCTCGGTGTAAGGTTCAGCCACTAGGGGTGGATGTTGATATGTGCAGTAACATGACAAACTGTCCTGCCTCGCTCTCCATCACTCGATCTGCCTCAGCTCTGGGACTCACCCGAAGAAGCGCTAAGACGAAAGCGCCAATCCCTGAGATGGCTAAGCCTATGAGACCCCAAAACTCTAAATGTAAGATTCGTTTCATGTCGTGTCGGCTTTGTTCAGATTCAGCCTTGAGGGTCTATGGGCAATGGGTGTGAGACATGGATTTAGATCCCGGCTGAAGGCTCGGAAACCATGCTGCCGCTGCTACTCCTCCTGCTGCTGCTGCTGCTGCGGCGA